TGTGTATTTGTCAAAGTATTCCTGCTTAAATAATGAATGGAGATGCCTGATTGCTCAACTGTATTACGGACAAGACCTTGCCAGTAAATCTAAACCGTCTCCTTTTTCTACTTTCTTCTCCCTTTCAGAAATGGAGCGCAAACTGATCGCATGAAATCAGCTGATGCTGCAGCTAGATAAGAAATTCTGGTACTTTTCCGTTATCCGGACCCATTTATTCAAAAGGCTCTCATAAAGTATGTTTCTTAGTATGAAAACAATTCTTCATAGATTCTACGAAGATTGCCTCCCCGCCATGTGTCAGGAAACAATTGACATGTTTTAGTCCATTTTGACTTGTTTTTTTTTTCGAAATTTTTTCCGGTGTGATAAAAGAGCATTTGTGACCATCTAAAAGCCTGTCAATTGTTTTCTTTAGGAACAAAACAGTCTAGAACTTAACACAGAACATCTTGATTACTTTCAACAATAATTCAAGATTGTCTTTCTCTTCAAACTTTTCGCCATGCGAATTTATCCAGACGAGACTATAAATGGTGGCTTGCAGTATTTCGCTGCTGCTTGTTTCGCCGCTTGGATAAGGAATCCTAGCGAATTTCTCCATTCTGGGCAGGTCGGAAACGTTCAGTGATAACAGCATGACGTTATTATCAAAGCAGTGTTCATTTTTAAAATTCTTTCAGATGAAAATGAGGTCATTATTGACTAAAATACAGATTGATCTTACGTCGCTAGGTAGTGCAAGACAAGCCTTTGTAAGACCTGTGAAACCTGTAGATGATATGTCAAATTTTTTCTGACACCTGGCAGAAGGTTGTCACTCCTTGCTATGAATTTGGGACCGAATTGGTACATGGTCTGAAGAAATATCCTTCTTTGAATAAATGGGTCCGAATAACGGAAAAGTACCGAAATTTTATACGTGAATTCACAAGAGAGCTGGAGAAAAAGAGACTGTCTACGCTTATTTTGCATGTTTCAAACTTCGAACAGTATGTCGATTGATGAGACATCAAGCTATCCTGAACCAAAGAAGTCTCTATTTCATGACTTTTCAAAACCAAAGCATTGAAAAATTCATCATATTACCTTTTATAGGGGCCTGTAAGATCGCGAGAGTCGGACGTGCGTACGGCCATTGCGCCGCGCACGTCCGATGTCACTAAGGCAGGTGCTAGACTTACCTGCTTCAGCCGGTCCGTTCGGTTCATAGGTCAAATCACTACATTGTTCAACAGCAAAGGTGGTGAACCAAATGAACTTGTTCAACAGGATAAGTCTGGCACCTACCTGAGTCGTCGGACGCACATCTGACGTGCACGGCGCAATGGCCGTACGCCCGTCCGACTTTCGCGATCCTGCAGGCCCCTATACTACTTATTTTCTCACTTTACACATCCCAGTCTCACTCGGCATGTAACTTACCTCGCCCCCCCCCCCCCTTTACTTTTCTAGGTCGCAAATAACCGAAACCTCCTTCACCTGGAGGCGACTCTGTTCTCCCTATTGCACTTATGTTTCCGTGGCCGAATATATCAATAGATCTGAGGTAGAATAAGCCTTAAAGCTTGAAGCTGATTGGTATTCGTCAATCTACCTCAAGATTTATTCCACATTTGACAGCATGATATAAGGTAAAATTCATTCTTACGCTATGACCAGGGCCCGGCACGAGTCGGTTTCTAGGGTTTTTAAAAACGAAGTCTCCCCTGACTTTTGACTGAGTTTTACGAAGTCCCCTTTGACCTACCTGCTTAGAAGAAAATGGAAACGAGAAAGATTTACTAGTATGAAGGAAACAACGTGAGATAAGAAAGAAAATCCAAGTTGGAGCTGATTACTATGCATGCACAAGAGTTTGCTATTGGAGCGCGATATCTAACAAAGCGATTCATGAAGAAATCAAGGCAAAAAACGAAGGAGAGGCAATGATATGGAAATGCATTTATGCTCAGGGATAGATTTTTGATCGGGGAATCCGTCCATGCTAAAAAGATCCGAAACTTATGTGAAGTGACAGAAATATATGCTTCAGACGATCTCAGATCGTCTGGTGGCCGTCTGGAGACGATCTAATTTTTGAAAAGGTATTACTTCACATAAGTTTTCAAAACTTTTTACATAGGTCTTCTTTAAATAATATTTTACTTATATGGTACAAATTTGGTTTCAAAGGCTTATGTTCACGCTCTAAACAAGCAATTTGTTTACTTTAGTCTTGCTTTCAAATCGCGCGCACTTTTCGCCATACACGATAGAGCATGTCAATCGTGTGATAACCTGTCCAAAAAGCTTGTGTTGGACTGAATGGCGCTTATTCTTGGTGCTTGGCCCCGACTCGTCAAAAACGATATCTCCTTTGTTTTTTGCTCCAAAAACGAAGTCCAGCCTGCTTCCAGACGATCTGTGCCGGGCCCTGGCTATGACGTCGTGGCAGTGTATGAAGTACCCCTTGTAGAACTTTTTACGGTATATTGCGTCATGTTTTTTGTAGATTTGCATTGTCACATTTTGACAAAAATACTTTCGAGGCATAAGTTCGGTCCAGTTGTGTTATAGAGGGGCAGAGAAACTACATGGCCATCTTTATAGTGCGAGTACCATCAGAATAGAATGCATTGAAGATGTATGAATGTACTTTAGTGCGTATGTTATTTTTAGTCTAGTCCTCATGGTTTTGTGATTTATGCCAGAGATAGTTCCAAAGCGCCTCGAATGATCTCAGCCATAATAGGTGGATATGTGGTGAAGCCTAATCAAGCATTGGACCTGCTCAAAGTTATGATAAGTGTAAATGAGTTTGGCCATTCTTCTAATGATGAACACGTTTTCCAATCTCAGATTTTGCCGCCGAGAGATCGTTGCGTTAAATAGGGTGTTGAGGCTCCACGATGCGAGCGCTACTAAAAGGAGGAGGCCACGAGCACTGGTTGCTGCCGCGCTATCCGGCGACGATTACGGTACTTTTTCACGCTTACACCACAATCGCCTCCAGACCTCTCTTCGCCTTGAAGCGTTGTCACTCAAGCGTCCGTTCGCCTTCCTTTTTGATCGATAATCCTTACTGTGTTTTTTACTGTGCTCGTACCTGGCAGTTTAGCTTCCGCCTTTGACGACACTTTCGCAGTAGCGGTTGAGGACATCGGAATCCGTACTGATTTAAAATACAAGTCCGCATTGGGTTTGTTTCAAATGAGCCACTTTTGGAAACTTTGGGATTTGAGATCTTATGAATTTTGGGAGCGGAAAGGTGTCGCGCCTTCATCCGGCGACGCGCGGCGGATCTGTGTAGATGAAGCCTCGGGCACAAATGTTCTTTGTATTAATGGACGCGCACCATCGGTAGCATGACGGGGCACTCTGCCTTGTGTTGGGGTTTCATTCACGTAGTAGCTCAGTATCTTAGCGCAATGTTCATTTGTGTGCTATAAGGATAATTTGTTAGTGTTTGATCTTCTATTTCTTACACGCTAGGTTGAAGGTAGGCTAGATGCGTTGTGAGAGTCAAGCGGAAGAGCGCACTAAGTAACTCGGATAACATCTAAGTGCTGCGGTTCCACCGAGCCGCCACACAGGGCCTGCTGATGTTTTTTGGCACTCTGAAGCGTCTTTCGCCGCTTTCGGGTACTTTATAGCGCTTTTTGGTAAGGTTTGTGCACCCATTCGGGGAGAAGTTGAGTTATGTGACGCATTCCTTTCTTTCCTTTGGTTACATACGCTGATGAAATTGAAATGAACATCACCTAAGGCACTATCTCACCAGAATTTTGGTACACAGATTTTTAAGGAAAATCTTTGAGGATTTCTCTATTGGGCTAATGCCCAAGTTCCATTCGAAAAAATCCAGACGATGCCGCCCTTTTTGACTTGTTCAACCCTGCGGCTAAAACTAAGGTAGAGCGGGACAATTCGTCGCGTTGTTTCTACGGGGGCTTCGGAAAGCGGGATCGTTCTACGTGCATTTTGAGCAGCCCGTATAGAGTTATACAAGATTGGGAATGCTTAAAATTCGCAAAATTCATTCGGGATACTGCCTTCGAACTCTTAATTCCAGGTACAATTTACCTCAAGGTATATTCCTAGATTGCCAAAGTTTATTTGTCAAAGTTAAGTCTACCTATGCCAGTGAACACTGCATATTTGAGCATGACATGACATACATGCGGTAAATTGCTTTTTTTCTTCATTTTTGCGTGATATCATGAAAATTATGTCTTTAGAGTGTCAGATATTACGACTAGTTTTGAGGAGATTTTTTTTACGTGATAATCTTTCCAAAACAATAAGACTCTATCAGGAAAATTAACTGCTTTTAGCTGCCATTTGGATGCCTTGCCTGTCTGAAGGAAGCTGTGGTCACAGTTATCGAGCTGTATAGTTGCATAAAATATTTTTCACATTCTGAAATGCTTCATGTTTTCGCAGTATGGTTGGGAATTTTTTGCCTAACTTTCGATGATATTAGATTGAAAATTTTCAAAACAGCTTCTGAATTGAGGGAGTGTGCGCAGTATTTGTTAAACTATTTCTGCTCCAAATCTTTATATCTTTCCGAATCACATGAAATTGATCTTCTTTGTAATGAAACGCAAAAATCATACATCATGGGTGGTTTGACCAGATTACTGTCATTCGTGTTACTCTACTCTATAAGGGAAAGCAAAATAACAATTTGAATGCTAGCAGATGATTGTATCTGAATAGGAAACATCGCTTCAATCGTTAATTATCCATTCAGACAATTGTTAAGCTTAGAAGGCTCATAAAAAAGAAAAAGCTTTTTGATTCTTCCTCTAGTACAAGTCCGCTCCTAACAGTAGTATTTTCTTTAGCTCAATATCTTACATCAGCTCTCACCTAAGCGAAAAGCAGCAACGATTTCTGAGATTTTTGATCCCAAGAGTAGTCTGCTCGATTTACCTTCGAAGTTTCCCTTTCAAAAATAGCAAATATTGAACAACTTTCAACAGATAAGAACAAGAAATTTATTCAAAGAATATATGTACAGACAAATCTATTCTATTATCTCATTTCTTCAAAAAAACAAAAACAAACTTAAATAGCGGAAGCTTAGCAAAAAACATTCGCATTACAAAGAGAAATTTTGCATGAAATCTGAAGGAATAGCTGAAACACACCGGTTAAAAGTCACAGACTTTTGCACAGAGAATAGGATTTTGTGTGGGAAAAAGGGGGGGGGGGGAGGTTAGGCAATATCAATAAGTCTTGAATGACGATAGCTGTCAAGGTAGATTCGCGATCGTCGTTTCGGCGTCACGTAGTCTTCAATTCTGCGCTCATGATCATGGTAGTACCTAAAGCAAGGATCTTTGATGTGTGATCTAGAACCATTAGGTTGTTTCGTAAGTCTTGCACCAAAATTTTTGAAAAGCCGTTACATATGTGCTTTCAACAAAATAGTTCAAATCCACATATTTAGAAAGAAAAATCATGCGCTCAAAAAAATCAATCAAAATCAACTAAAAATCTTAGGCATATCACTGGTAAGAGTAGGTAAGAGTTAACTACGAAAAGCACTTAAATCGTAATTTCTATGGTTTGGTTTCTAAAAATGCGAGAAGGTCTAGAATATCTACTTTTTTACGCTTTTGAGACTTACTCTTTTTAGAGCGAAAAATTTGTAGTGTCTGGATGTTTCTTCTACTATTTATGATTTTCAACCTTTTAAACTCAACAATTCGTTTTCGCTTCGAAAAAAAAACTTCTAAGCATAATTGTATGAAGCACTTGTTGCAGGTTTCAGGATACGTAAAGTGTAACCTGAAAGTCGTTTGAAATAATTTTAGGTAATTTTTAAAGCATTTTTCGGTGCAATACTTCTGGTACAAACTAATATTTTTGATGTGTTATAACTAAAACTTACTTAGAATTCCTATTCTCATCGGTAGTATCCGTATATTTGGTGTGTGCAGTGGTATAGGAATGACGTTTTTCTTCAGAAGGTACTGCTTGTGGCAAATCATATTTTTCCACCCAATCTGACGGGTTCCATTGGACGAACACCAACGCCACAGGCAATTTCTCAGGCATGACGGAATGATGTGTGATTAGCATTTGAAGTGATGGAAAATGTTTGTCGGAGCTCTGTAAGAAATTTTGTTATTTTTGGACGTTTCACCCAATTACCAAATATATCTCAAGTGCAAATGGATACGGTAAATGCGTCACAATGACTAGGTCTCTCTTCAATGACGCAATTGCGGATAATGAGGTGTTTATATGGTACTATGTGCAAATTCAGATTTTTCAAGTAGGATTACTGTATGGAGAGAATCAGAGTCGCAACATTGTTATGCTAATTTAGGATTGCGTAAATATGCGTGAATGATGGCAAAAAATTTTGTCAAAAAACTATAAAATACAGCGTCATTTGCGGTGTACGGTAGTATAATGTCGCAAAAGGAAAACACCTTAAAATCTGTTTTATTTATTTTTTTGTTTCTATTAGAAATTTTCCCAGAATATTATTTCATGAATACAATTTTATGAAGGAAAAGGACTGAGGCTGTCGACTTGTTTCCAAAAAATTCAATAAAAAGTGCAGAAATCTACAATTTCATTTTCACTGTCTTTACTTTGAGAAATTGCAAAAATTCTTCAATTTTGTTTTTGAAAACGTTTTAGTAGAAGAGGATTGGGAGATTCCTTTAACGATTGAAAAAAGTAGCAAACACAATATACTTTTCAAACTTTGGTTTTTTGAAGTTTTGCTACTTTGAAATGATATTGTATTGTGGCAGAAAATTTCAACACAATTATTTCTTCTAAATCATTCAAGAATTTTTTTGCCTCTAAGAAAAAATGCAGCCTCAAGCTGTTCAAAACTTATTTTTATACTTTTTCAATTTTTTTCAAACTCTTTCAGTTTGTTCCTAGAATTTTTTTATGAGATAGAAGAAGAATAATTACGAAGCTACTGCTTATTTCAATAAATTTTAATATGATTCCGCACCAAAAGGAGAAAAACGTGGGACTTTTCAATTTACTTTACAAATTCTCGTTCTGAAATCAATCTTAGAAGTTTCTTCTTCTCAACCCCTTTCCCATGACTTACCTTGATTCTATAACCACTTTGATTTCGAATAATCAAATAATGCGAGATACAGGCCGGATTGTGTGTTGGCGGTACACGAACGCTCAATGCCAAACATCGTCGTTTTGATTCTGAGTAACGAACCACAAAAGCGCCCTCGCATTGCGACAAAAGATTTCGCACCAGTAGCTCCCTAAAATGGAGAGATTACAGGTTTACGAGGTCCATTCGTCTTGCTTAAGAGATCAGCAGCAATTTGAAGGTGACATCTAGGTGTAGTCGCGCTAATTACGCAACATCTGTCGGCAGACATGGTGTTTTGGATGGTAATATGGCTAAGGTTAATTGCGGTTAGACATGCTATGGGTATGTGGTTTGCTGGTATTAGTGTAGATGGATCCGATTTGTAATAGAAATGGAGATAGCTAGAGTTGAACAATCAAAAAAATTTCCGTCTGAGGCCTCAGAAAGAAGCCCGCGAAGCCTTTTATTGCGTTAAAAGCACTGCTTGAGTACATGTGAGTAAAAAAAGACCTCAAAAAATTTGACTATGTCGTTGCTCAAGCGGCAGCTCATATAATAGATATTTGCAACCGGAAAATTCAACTCTCAGCTCTCACCCAGACAGTATATTTTCGCTAATCAGCGTTCTTAGGTACTGTAGTGGGCGAGAGTTCAGAATTGGAATTTTCGACCACGAATGAGTTTTGATAACTGCCTCTTGAGCAATATCTTACTGTTGACCTCCAAATCACTCTTGGGCAATCAGGTATCCAGATTTCCACATCGCCTATAAAAAATGGACTCCACCTCAATCACCCAGTTCTACCGAACCCAGCTCCCCCTATTTGCCCACGTGCATAGGCATTCACCTTCGTCGGCATATTTTAAGCTCTGCAGCTGTTGATTTGACCTGCGATGACTCTTCCCATTATGGACGTGGACTTGATCCCTACGTAGCTAATTGCCCCCACTTAATTGCCCTTTTCCCTATAGTTCTTCTCGCACACATGCAAAGCAATTAGCGCGATCACGCGATAAGTTTAAACGTTTGAAAGCGCTGGGTGAAATTTCTACCCGAAACTTGTTTGGGTAAAAACAAAATGGTTGAAGTTGCTTACCTAGATGGTAATTTCACAAAATAGTTGACATTTTCCAGTTGAGCTTGCAAAGTCTCATCGATTGGGTATATCCATTCTCCTAATTTTTCATCATAAACAAGTACGGGTTCAGCTGGCTTTTTTTCCTTTGGCGGTAGCGGCTCTTCGGGTACAGGCTGAAAAATTAGTCATTTACCATAGGCAAATCTGACAAACTCCGAAGTCTCTCTTACCGAGGTCGCTTTAGCAACAAACTCCTCTCTACGCAGATCTTTACGAGGTGGAGATTCAACACTGCTCATCTGGAATGGATTGCTGGTTGAGTTGTAGGTAGTTTTCTGGAAGTTCGTTTGATTTTTTTGCGCCCTAGGTGTTTGACAACACTTAGCGTAAAAAATGGCTTGGTTCACTAATAGGAACTGATAGCATGATTTTCATCGAAGATGGAGACCAGTTTTCGTTAGATATTAAACAAATCATAAGTCTTCCATGAAATAAGATTTGAAACCCTGCCAAGACGTGCGGAGATTCAAATTCTATTTACTCTAGCATGTCGAAAATCAAGCGAAATGACAAGATTTCCAAAATCAATAATAATTTTGACGATTAATCAAGCATGGGTTCAACACTACCAATATCTCTTGCAGGCTGCGCAGCCACCACCCATTTCTAACGCCCCGAGAATGGGTCTTCAAGTAAATTTTCACTTACATGATTAAAAAATGTGCGTCAGTTGCTTATAATTCTAAATTATTGGACAACTTTTTGAATTTTTTAAAAACTTGAACTAGCTTTTCAAAAAAAATTTGGGAACGAGGCCACCCATTTTTTCTAAAGTTTCGAGGCTACGGGCCCTTATTTTTGGAAGGATCCCAAGAGAACTGTCGCAGTGGGTGGCGTCAGCTAACAGCCACGCACCTTCATTTTAAAAAGTTTTATTTATCCCCCTCCCCCTCCGAACGGAAATCCTGCGGAAAACGGAAAACCACTGAGACTACATGGTTGATGGAAACACAGGAACTAGCTTTTGTGGTACAAAAATTCTTAATGGCTTTGATATAAACGTAAAAGTATTGTGTAATTGAGAAAATTAATTCACTTCAATTTTTCAGAGCAGAGAAATTTTTCTCGACTTGCCAGTTAATCAAAGATTGTAACCTGAAACCTGATCCGGCACTATCTGCTCATCCCCTCTTCCCCCCCCCCCATGTAATAAGCACCCTTTTCTTATCGGTAGATCATCTAACTCATCATTTCTCAGCTAGTGCACGACACATTACGCAACCGATAGTGTGTCGTATAGCACTGTATTATTAAGTGGGAACATCATATTGCGCCACACGCATGCGATGTGACGTCCGACGACGGAAACGCGTCGCAACAGCGCAGCATGATTGACGTAATGTTTATACTTTCGCTGAATTGGATTTTGACCTTGAGAACGGGGTTTCGTCGGATTAGGAAGTGGGCTGTGGCGCATTGCGGATGAGGCGGGTTGCAAGCTCAAAATGGCAAAAATTCCAGGAAAGATTTCTGTAGAGCAGTAGATTCCTGCCGGACCCCTAAAATTGTCCCATACTAGCTCGAATAATGGAAAACGCAAGAATTTTTCTACCTTTCTGGAACGTCTTGAGATTTCTACCTCAAAGTCTCTCCTAGCCTCTGGAAAAGATCCTTGAATCATTGAGAAAGCATTGAAATCTTTGTTATTCGGAAGTTTTGCCCAAATTCACCCCCTAACCTCCCTTAAGAAATTTTGGGATGTAAACCGCAGTGGAATTTATTCCTGTTGGTGCCTCCAAATCTTCCCTTAGCTTCCCGCAAAAATCTTAGACAATGGAAAACGCAAGAAAATTTGGCTTGTTTGGGTCTCCTTAAGATCCCTGTCACCCCCTCCCTACGCCTTGGCTTTTTTGCAAAAAATCTTTAAGTGAAAAGGAATTCTGGTGTTTGAGTTTTTTTTGGAAACCTCTCAAACTCCCCGCGAAAATCTTTAAGTAGTAGAAAGCACAAAAATTTTGCTTGCTTGGGTATGACCCTCCAAAGATTTTGTCCCATGTTGCCTGACTTTCCCAGAAATGCCTGAGTAATGGAAAATGCAAAAAATTTTTCTGGTTGCCTGGGTTTTTTTCCTTAGAAATCCCCCCAATATCCCCGCAAATTTTGATGCCATGGAAAGTAATAGAGGTTTTGCTTGCTTGGATTCTCCTCGGTCCTGTACCACACTTTCCCATAGCTTCTTCTTCGAAAATTAATGGTTTTGGTTTTTCTCTCAGGATTTACGCCCAGAATCGACTCTTTTTCCCCACAGAAAATTCTTGGGTGGATGGGAAAGCGCGATGGAGATCGTCCGGGAATTCCCATGGGAATTATAGCCCACATATATTCCTTAACCTCCCCGCAAATTCTCAAGCGGTCAAAAGCTTAATAGAATTATTTTATTTACGATCTCCATGTGAAATTTTGGCCCAAATTCGTTTCCTGTACTCCCCTCCATTCGCTTGAGATTTTTCTTTTGAAAATCTCTACATAAAAACTCCTGGCTTCCCATTGAAAATTACTCAAGCTTGGGATGATTTCGCTCCCCGCTTTGATCAGACTCGTTCCTCGCCCTCTAACCTCCCCATGGAGCAAGCCATAACTACCCTGAGTGCCCTGTATAGGTCCGAATTGCTCTACTCATACCACTTGTAGCATATGCATAACTACTGGTGTGTTGCTCTTGAACTTGAGCAAACAATAGTCGTTGTACGTTGAAGTGGGTTCCGGGGGCCACAAACGAATGTAGGGGCAATATTGGTCTCTGGGATACGGTAGCTCAAATAATACGGTAGTTCTGAAGGACAGAATTTCAGAGCCAATAGGTGGCTAATAAATGAAAAAATCTTAACTTCTAGCAGTAGGTATTTTTTCGACTAAATTATAAAACTGATTTTTTGATTGCAAAAAATGGTTTATTGAAAATTGGGACTTTGAAAGCGGGTTTGTTAGCATAGGTAAAATAAGTCAAAAAAACAAAAAAAAACAAAAACAAAAAACATAAGTCTTGCACCGAACTTTTGGGAAAATCGTAAGTTCCTCTACATCCAATTAAAAAAATCATGCGGTTTCTGATACTTAGAACAAAAATGATTGTTATTGTGAAGCTGGGATAAAGTTAGTAGACACAAAATCTTTTTATTTCATTGATCTTCGACGTTAGAAATGCTGGAAGTTCTAGCAACTTCTAATAGTTTTGTTGATGATTTTTCTACGAAAAGTTGTGACAATTTTTTTCAAATTTCAAATTTTTTTCAAATGTAAGATAAAACACTACAATGTTATATACAACAGAAAAAATTCCGGATTTGTCGCTCAAGCAATTTTAAATGATTTTTTCTGTTTTTTTTTTCGGTATAAGACTTATGTCTAAACTATTATCACCCAATGCTCCGAGATGACCCCAAAATCATTATGGCTTCCCAAAAAGGCACTTAAGCAGGTGGTTGTTTATAATTACGTCACTGTGCACGGCTTCTCCTTGCCAGACGTTGATTAAGATAGGATCATTAACCAAATTACGCAATGACGTTGATATTCTAGTGAATTTCTAATCGTTTCAAGGGCACTGGAGTTAATCCATTGTATTGCGTAATGTTTTTTCCCAAAAAATCAATTTACCCATTCTTTGCAAATGAAAATACCATAATGGAGTCGTTTAACAACATACAACCCAATTAGGAAGCCTTTACTGGGTAATTAACCCCGAAAAAACCCAACCCATACCCATAAAGCAGACTGTAAAGACTTTTTAGCGAATACTTTGGGAATTATGTAATGCTAAACATACCCTTTTATTGGCAATTGAAGTGGTTGACGAAAGTCTATGAATCGCACTGGAAAACACCGCACTGACCGGTCTTCTTTTTCTGCAAAATAGGAAGAGATTAAAAGTACATTCTGTGCGAAGTAAACAGCATCAAAAGTGCAGATTAGGAAAACATTGCAAGATTTTTAATACTTGTTGTTAATGAGGCAGCCGGTTTTCGAAAAAAAAATTTCAAAATGTAAAAAATCAAGTAAAAGATGGAATACTGCTGAAACTCCAACAAATTTCAAAAATAGTGCGATAGGCTTGAAGGTAAGCTGGGATAGTATGATAGCTAAAGGAAAGTTCTAAAAAATGCCGCTCTTTCGAATTCCATCGGCAGTACTCGCATTATTAAAAAAACTACTTATTGCTTACTAAGAAGAAATTCTAGTTGAAATATTACATTTTATTTTTACAATTGTACTGCGCATGTGATATTCCGAGATTACGGTAGATTACAGTACCTTTCAAATAGTGTCAACGAACAAACCTTTTAGTCTTGTCCTCAATCGTTTCTTTGCCTTTTCCTAGAAGTCGAGCCATGAAAGCAGTGGACGAACAGCGTTTGTCGCTTTTCGATAGCGATGGGACCTGAATTTTTTTGTATCAATTACAGGATTTGGACCACATAATTTTTAGTAGCTTTAGTGAAGTTTGGAATTTTCTAAATAATTTTTGATTTCAATTTTTTTCGGTGCAAGACTTATGTGTCAACCTTATAGTGAAAAATTTTTGATTTGGGAAGATCGAACAATTCTCTAACAAAAGATAACCTACCGTTGGCATCCAGCCAAACAATGATCGAGGCAGGTAGAGCTATAGCGAGCGAATAAACACCTAATCACACCTAATGCACTACTTGAGGCTGGGTAAGTGAGTTTTCCGCGCAAGTCATGTCATTTACGACTGTAAGGGTCGTAAAGGCGGATGGCGGTGAGCTTTATGTAAACCCGGGCGTTACGCGACTCATTCCGCACCTGTGCGAACTCTCGCTCACATATGGGAATGGCGCAGTTAGGTCGAAAAAATAAGATATGGTAAGCATACGGGTAGAAAAAACTCTTACCGCACCTTAGGGCAGCTGTTTTAATGATGGGGTAAAAATAATAAGAATTTGCGATCTTGCCGTTTTGGCGGGAAAAACAAGATAAAGCGCTAGTGTAAACGTAAAGGATGTAAGAAATCAAAGATCTAGAGATTTTGAACTTTTTTGAGTCTGGAGTTAGTATTGATTGAAAAAAATGCAAAAAATTGAAGGAAAGACATAATAAATTTTTTTCTGGAGTTAGCGTTGCTGATAATGATTCAAAATTTGATCTGGAGAGTTCGAACAGATTTTGCTCTAATAAGAACTTGTGCTGTTGCCGTTTTGGCGGGAAAACGACATGAAGCGCTAGTATAAACGGACTAGTAAATTCGTCCTCCAAAGACAGTTGATATGATAGCCGAAATTTGTTTGTCGTGCCTCCCCCGCCCCCCAATTCTATAGTCAATTATGAAGTTTCAAGAAAATTGAAAATTTTGAAATTTGCTGGAACTCACCGGTAACGGTGTTGCCATTGTGACCGGTCGTGCTGGTGTTGTGGTTTTTGAGACTAACGCAGCTTGGAATGCGTTACCCAAAACCGATTCGATTTCTTCAACCTGAAAAAAAACTTCCAAAATATAAAATTCTCAAACAAATTTGTAGATTTGCCAAAAAACAGTGTCTAATGGAATGCAGAGTTTAGAGCAGAGAATGCGTAAATCTGCGATTTTGGAAAAGAGGAAGTTTTTCAAATGCGCAAAAAATCTGTGAGAGCCAGAATGGTGACGAATTTGTTCATTTAGTAACGGAACATCAACATTTGGTTCTACTTCACTATTGTATCGTTGTCAGAGACTTTACCCACAAAAAGCAAGTGTACACTGTGCACATGATCGATAACCTGAGCTACCTAACTAAGTAAACAACGACCCTAACTTTCCTGTACAGCATCTACGGCAACCTAATATTACCGTATCACTATGTTTTCTACTTGCTACTTGTTTATATCTGAAGGGCCTATATGAATACTGACAAGGAACTTATGGGATGATACAGAAATCGACTGAAATGATTTTGAGCAACAAAATGAAAGCTTAACCTTGTGAAACGCTGAAATCTTGACTATGCTATAGCAAATTGTCATGATATAATTTTCGTGGCTCAAATGAGTCACTCAAGCTAAAAAGAAGTGAAAACCAACTTGCTTGCCGCATAAGACGCATCACCTGTTTTATTATACCTGTCACCTTCTAAGGTTATTTCTAACGTTACAGAGGTCAGATTTGACGAATTGCGCATGAAATTACTAGCAGAGGGAAAGGATGTGGAAACTAAGTCTAAGGCAAAGAGTGGTTTTTCTATGAAAAATGATGGGTTTAGCGATGAAAAGAAAGTGACATCAAGCTCATCATTCTTCGTGAAAAGGAATAAAAGCAGTCTTTGGGAGGAAAAGTACAATGAAGTGTAATGAATCATTATTGAAAGTGTATTGTAAAGATGTTATTACAAAAATATATAAGTAGAAATGCTTATATTTGTAATTTTAAGCAACCCCTCCAAATCAGTTTGGAATTATGGCTCCCAGACTCTAAGATTTCAAACGAATGAAAAAGAGGAAAAGCGTTCGATTAGAAGAAAGTATAACAAGAACGTTGGTTAAAGTAGATTTTCTTTCGTTCTAATAAATGAGAAGAAAATAATTCTGGAGTTCTCAACAAACAACTATTTTCATAATAGTTGCTAAGATGCTGAAAAACACCTTCATTCCTTATCCCAAAAAGGGTTAAAAAAATCGATCTCAGAATTTCTAGATAAAGGTCATGAACCAAACTTTTATGCACATAACATAGGGAAAGAAACCCAGTTGACTGAGACTACATATAAGCAGTACATATTGAATATGTTAATACAATTAGGCTTAAGTATAGCATATAATTTTCTTCTGTTTAAACGATAGTGGATGTATCCCGTAAGTAATTGAAATGAAGCCGAACTAGTCTAGTTTTGAAACGAGTCTTGAAACGAAAAAGTGTAAATCGTGAGTGTGGAAGAAATTTGGGCGACTTCTTCAGTGATCATTTCAGCTACTGTAATGATGCTTAGCTTAAAATACCTTCAATAAAGCGTCAAACTAGGTATCAGAACTATTAGTAAATGGAAGCTGGCGTTTACAGTGGCAGCTGCCACTTAATTGTGCAAATTTACGTAAATTGCAGAAGCAGGCAAGACATTTCAAGTGAATGCATGATTCCAGTGAAGCAGCTAAAAGCTTTACAGCTATACAATGATGAGCCTTTAGGGGTGTAAAGTTGCCCGACAGCTGGATTTTAACGGCGAAACATATGTTAAAGACTAAAGACAGTATAATAAAGGTGTAGTAAAGCCCGCAGACAGGCTTATGCACTTTTGGCGCCAGCGGGGAAAGAAATGGGTCAAATGGGTCGGAAGATTTAGATCTCGTAGGGTTTATGGCTATTGAGCCGGACCAATACGAACCTTTGTGACAGTTTCAGTGGGATAAAGGGTATAAAAGGGGTGGATAAAGGTCTCTTGGGAGATTTTTACTCCAACAGTGAAAAAGAAAACGTATAGTTTGCTCAAAGTGGGAGGATTGGGAAGATTCTGATGTAATTAGTTGGGGCAGCAGCAGCAGAAATCTGCGGCAATGATCAGGTTCATGAAACATTTGCAAAGCATGAAATGGACTGGTTCTGGGCCTATATTTGGGGGGGGAGTTGATTATTACACTAAAAATGGCTTAATTTATCATGAAGAATGAAAATTAGTTAAGCGAAGGCAATATTACAGTTAAATCAGTTACGTGATAAAAATGCATTTTGGAAGTAATAAAAATTACTGTATTCTATATATTGTGGGATTGGTATTTACCTCGACAGATCGTACATGGTACTAGGATACTGTAGTCTGCCGAGGTACGGTAGTGGGCATGCGATGGGAACTTAGCTATCACTGCACAGAAGTATTATAAAAGACTTCAATAAAACAATCGTATCCTACCGTATACCTACCGTATCTCAATGTTTTACGGTAGTGTGGTACTATAACAATTACGCTGAGTTAAGAATAAGTATAAATCTGCGTTCACTTTATAGAATATAAGCTAGCAGAGCATGTATTACGCGAAAATGCAGACTTTGGGACCTCAGTGATGAAACAAGAACTGAAAGTACAGTACCCCTACCCGGATCAAGAGCTCAACTCAAAGCTGCACACAAATTCCAACGCTGAACACTGACTGCTTCCTTGAAGCCCCTACGACGCCCATCCATCACCCTGTGGCCCATCTTATCTGCCCATAGGATCAGTAGGGTAAATGAAGCCATTGCCGCCGTTCTGCGGGTTTCCAATTCACTCTCAAATCGCTGGCCAAGATCGCAATCGCACAACGTTCCTATTGGGTTATCGTCATAGATATTTCCGCAGAATTAAGAGTAAAGGAAAGGAAAGGATATGGGAAGGAAGTCGGGGAGAGAGGGGTAGGGGTATGATAGACAAAGAGGAAAATTTTGGAAAAGGAGAGTGAAGAAGTGTAGAAAAAGAAAAACCCCAACACTGAGTAACGACGCACGTAATTTCCGAACTCTTTCCGCCTCCCCCCCCCCCTCCACCCCTTGAACGGTAGCGAAAGAATTTTTTGTTAGGTTGACTGACTTAAGTCATACAATAATACAATCTTGTTTTTATTACCAATCAGATCAGAAAATAGATTCAACTGGACAAAAACTCAAAAAATCAATAAATGAAACTTTTTGGTTTTTAACAAAGATTGAATTTGTTCGTCATTTATAAGATAATCTCCAATGTTGCTGCCTAAATCGGAAAAAGAACACAGGACTTAAATCAACGCCTCAATATACAAGTGCTTGGTTCATTTTCCTTACTTAGAATTTTTTTGTTAAACTGTGTGAGGGATAGATGCGACCTTTGAGTGACGGTCCAGATACACCTACGAGAATCCGATGATAGTAGGAAGCTCTATGTTATTATTACCGTAACCCAAGAATTTTAGAGTTTCAATTGGAACATTCTTGGAAGGTTAATTTAGCACCAAGAAAATAAATTTTGCGGTAAAGATGGTCATTGAATCATCTAGCGACAGCGGCTGGCGTTAGACGAAACATCTGCCGTTGCGCGGGAAGAAGAAGAAGAGCTAGGCGGATGAAAAAGAGTCGCTAGACTCTTTATAATTTTCTAAGAATCATTAAGTTTTGTCACAGTATCGAAATAGAATTTTAGGAAAGTTGTTCGTGTGATTTCTAGACAAATGATGAACATGCCTTACCTTCAGCATTACCTCCTTATTCATAAAAATTTCAACTTTGGTAATGTTTTGTCTGATTTGAATCACTTCTCATTTATGATGGCCTCTTTTTTTACAGGAAAAAAACTCAGGAGCAGAAAAAAAGCAAGGAAGAGAATAGAATAGCCATGTTTGAAAGTGACAATTCACTTCCCAAAAATGATGTGTTGGATCGTCGAGAGCGAGCAACATTTGAAATGCAAAGACCGCGCTCGTGGGGCGATAAATTACCACACATCGGAATAGCGATGAGTATTAAGGCTGGCTAGCGCGTGCGAAACAACGAAAAAATTATGCGAATTTTCGGAAAAAAAAGTTGTGGCCTCGTTTGCGTGAATATCAGGGTAAAGAATAGTACGTATAATTAGGGGAAAATTACCAGGAGCTCATGAAGTTCTAGAGTCGGTAATTGGTAGTTATAGAAACTGTACAGCATCGATGGATGCGATAAATTCTACGAGATTAGCTGAAGCTATGAATAGTTGTATCGATTGCGGGGTACTGTAGGCTTACTGTAGCTCACTAACTTGCCCAAAAAGGTGATAAATTCAATAAAAACGTAAAATGCTTTGCTATTAAATGACTTTCTCAACGAATGTAGATTCTTATTCCGCTCGAAAAATGATCATCGAATTATCAGGTATCGTAATCCAACGCACAGGTACGGTAGCTGGCTAAGTGAAAGAATTTCATCCTGCGCTGAAGGTTACGAAAAATTCAGTATAAAACAATCACATCCTACCGTATATATACCATATCCTGATGTACTACGGTACAGAGGTATAACAATTGTTCCGCTATTCTAATTATAAAATTGCACTCAGATTCTTATAGAGTTTGAAGGAAATTGTGGTTGATTTGCGTAAATTTATCTAATCTCGCGCCATTGATTTACTACAAAAGCTACAGTAAGCTAGAGTATCCCCCAAGCAATAGATACTACCGCGTACACCAGCTTTAGGGACTAGATGTGGAAATTTGAGTCCAGATTGTTAGAATATGGAAAAATTATGGCCGAATCGAGGAAGTTTATCAAATTTCGCGCTCTTGCATTGTAAAGCTACAGTAAGCTACAGTAACGCCAATCAATCGATATTCTATTACGATTTTGAGGAATCGATCTCTCGAATAAAATGTTTACCTGATGAATATCGTCGGTCTGAAATACGTGGCACTGTCGCCGATATGTCTGTCCAGCTGCCTCCATTGCGGTGTAGGCAACCTAGGAAAGAAAAAATATCCAGCCCGCTAATTTCAAGGACGAGTTTTGTGCAAAGTACGTAATGTTCAGGACATTTCAGAAGAGAAGAAGTGCTCAGAGGGCTAGAAAAAAAACTGGAGAAAAACACTTTAGAATTGAAGTAAATTACCTGTCTGAGGTGAGCTCGGCCAATGACACTGCAGACACGTCGCAATGAATGTGACATAACAAGGACATTCTGAAACATTTGTCACTCTGAGTTGAAGGGCATACAAAACAGAAAATAGGGTTGGAAAGGGGCAACATAAGTTGTACCGTGACCTAGCCAAAATTCAGTAAAAAATTGGATCCAAACGATGCATTTAGACTGCAAGATTTTTTGTGTCGAAAAGGATTAATTGCGAGTCTATAAAGGAAGTATTTTAAATTTTGTTATTTACTTGTTTATTTATATTATGAAGTCTCGGAGCTAAACATAAACAAAGTAAAAATTCCAAGACTATAGATACTTTTCTTTCTAGGACATTTCTACGAAAAATCGTTTTTCATTTTATTATAGACAGCCAATATTCAATTGCAACAATTATTGTGATTACTGCTTTTGTTCTTGCGTCGACTGATATTGTTTTTTTCTAATTATTAAATTTTTTGCAACCAAAAATGGTTAGCTGTCTTTGAGGATGGGATTCCTAATTTGGAATATTCATTTATTTATGTACTTGTTCATGATGTCTCGGAATCAAACATAAACAAACTAAAGAATTCTAAGATTTTGGATATCCTGACTTTAGTACGCCTTCAAAAAATAATTTTTTAAACTTATTTGCAGACTACACAATTTAAAAATGATAGGAACTGTTATTAATGCTTCTGTTTTTGCCAAAGAATCAATAATAGTAAGCCTTTCTTTTTTATTATACGTTTCATTTTTATTTTTTATTTTGAACAGTGTTCTGTTGGTTCAGTTACCCATAATATTTCTAAACAGCTCATAATCATCCTCATGTACAGAACTGCACAATGTTCGAGGCTAATGCTGCATTTATTACCAGCCTAGCGGAAAATTCCCAAAGTGCAGCTTACAATTTAAATTTTTATACTTCACGCAGATTATTTTTCACCCGCTTTCTAGCAGCGAAAAAGAAAATCCCTTAAGCCGTACTGGTTACGGAGTTTTCGTTCAAATCATTACCCTTTCCATCCAAATACCAACGGATGATTATGCAACACTCGGCGAGTATCACACAGCGCGATCGGCTCAACAAAAAAATTCAGCAAAGGTCGTGGAGTGTGAGCAATCAACCGTTTTTCGTATAAACATTTTCGAGAAAAAAAATTGTTTGAAAAAATTTGAATTTCCAGAAGACAGTGGCGTTTCTATGAATTTAGTTCAAGAGAGGCGAAATTAAAATTTTTTCTAGATGATGGGAAGTACAGTTAGTCGCGCCTAGAAATCAAAAATTGGTCTATTTCATAAAATCTGAACAAAATATGTTGATTTTACACACAAAAAAGTTAACTAAATTTTCTGAACGTCGCTGAAAGTTTTATCCCCCTTCCAGCCCTCATTTCGATTGGTCCAGCCTATCCCCTCCCTTCCCCCCTCCCCCTCCCCCCCCCCCTTATGATAGCGATCGGAAACTAGCCGGAAGCCACATTAGCCACCTTACGATTAGTGCTGGCGATAAGATAAAATATTGGTTGCCGATGGCCGCATGTGAATGTGACCTGTGGTGTTAACCGTATAATTCTCTATTATATCCGGGCTAATGACACGATTAGGCCCTCTACAGGCCACGTTCACTTCCTAACAGCCGAAAATGTGATTGTATAGGTGGAAAGACATGCAAGATGCGGTTTTGGTCATTTTTTTTGCAAAATCAGTGGGGCACAAGAATTTTCCCAACTGCTTTTAATCGCGAGAAAAAGAATCTTCGAAAAATAATTCATTTGGTAGCAGTTCGATTTACTTTTTATCATCTAATTGTGAAATACCAGTTTCTGAGAAATTCTAATCAAGCGCGGTTTCACTAGGTGACCATTTCTAGGGCCTAATTCCAATCACATGATTTTGTGGTTTGGATCATGCTATAAGTGTAAGAAAAGTTCGAGAAAAAATTAGAGATGAGATAGAGATTTTTTTCGTACGAAGTTAATGCTGCTCTATAGAGAGCCAAAGCCAAAAGTATTATAACTGAATGTAGTTTTCGATTAGAGTTAAGCTGCGCCACAAAAATAAAACGAGAAAAGTGAAATGAATCAGCAAACATACTGAGGTATTTTATTTTATAGACATCTTTTTCAAAGACTTTTTATTTTGCCTATTTTATAGATAGTCCATTTCCTATAAGGCTTCTCTCCTTTTCAAAATCTTAAGACCTCAATTTGCAAAGAGTAGGTCTGATTTTGAGGGACAAAATCTATGAGATTACAAAGCGAGGCTTGAACTACGCTTTTGCTAACATTTGTCTGCATTCTTTTATCTAAAGACACTGTACCACCACGATTTGGGTCCCGCGATTGTAGAATACAAGCCTACTCGTTCCTAAATAACCCTCTACGGATCGAAACCCGCGCGAAAATCCCAAAATCCGTGAAGTACAGTCGCCTAAGTTTCTCCCTAGATATTTCCGTAAATGATGTTAGCATTTTTGCCTGTTTTTAATATAGCGCTATAAGTGTGTTCACTTGCACTTCTTAAGCGAGAAAATTCTAGAAGATCCACTAGAATGAGCATTAGGGGCCGGGCATACTTCAGGCGATTTCAGTCGCGACGCGATTTGGCAATTCGCCAGAATTCTTCAGATTCAACACTAGCAAACTGCACATGCATAGTGTGTATAACTTACATGGCTTAATAAAATGCCCTATCTTCTATACATTTGAAAGGTGTTTACAGTGAGTTATGAACAGTTGGAATATGGCCAATTCGCGTTGCAACTGCAATCGCGTGAAGTATGCCCGGCCCTTTAATGCCTTCAAAAGATTCTTTTTGCCCGATACTGCGTAAACCTAGGCGCCACTGAGGTATTGAGGTCCAAGCAACTAGCTAATGAGTCCACTGCGCAACAATGGCCATACATTACAGACAAGGCGGCCACACTTTGAATTCGAAATTAATTTTTAACATCTCCACCCGTTGCACGACCATTACGCCGCACCGCAAGGGTTCTCAATGAAAAATTATCCTACTATGTATACATTCAACAGAATTTATTGCGTAAAATAAATACTCACCTCTTTATTGTGCACTCGAACTCCTAGAAGTGAAACCGATAGTGTCACGGGCTTGGATGTGGGTGGTACTTGAAAGTTTTCCAAGCGTGAAGACACGTGTTCGGGAGTTGTGTTAGAAATTGGAAATGAGCCAAGATACTGAAATAAGGGCATTGTGAGAGGCGAAGTTCTGTTGAACAGCGAATTAAAAATCAGCAATATATGAATCAAAAGCTAAGTATATTGGATTGAAAGTTCTGAAAAAAATCCTAACAAAATCAAAACTATTCCGCCGAAGAGGGCATGACTATCATACTTGTTACTCTCTCCACTCGTAATTTGTAGGCATGTAGTAATGTTTACGGCTGGTTAAAATAAATCACTATCTAACAAATTCAGAAAAAATGACGATATGAAATGGTCAACAGTGGTAATTCTCGTTTTTTATCGCTCGAAAATTTCTCTCAAGAAGAAAAGAATTTCGGAAACTCACATGGCTCGCAAAAGCGATTGGGGATAGAAATGAGCAAGTGAACGAGCAAGAAGAAAAAATTAGGATGGATAAATAAATGAATGAAGAAATGAACGAATATGAGAATGGATGAGTGACTGAATAAATGAATGAATGGAATGAGAAGTATCAGACGAAAGAATAACCTGATTGAGAACTAAAGCGATTTGGATAAACAAATCAACAAGAAAAGATATGATTAGCAAATATCAGGTCTGCAGAATGCGTGTTTTGTACCCGAAAAGACTGATGTAAGTCTCCCATTCTTTTTATTTATTAATTTATATTATACTTGATTTGCTATAATTTTCAAAACATATTTACCCCAATGCGATCAAATCTTCTATCGTTCTCGTTAACGGAACGACCTTACCGGAAATTGAGGAACATGGTAGATCTCTTGACCAAATATTCCTGTACAGTCATTCTCCCCCCTCCGCTCTTACAGCAACTCCATCCGAGGAAATTTTGCAGAAAATACTGTTCCATAATGGAATACCATATTGGATCGTACAATCTGCTTATTTAATACCATATCAGGCCATGCATGATTTTTGAACAGTCTCGGAAACGTCTTGCCCAAAAACACGAGCATATGTCTTCTGGTGGCATCATAAAAACATAAAATGGTTGAGTGGTCGACGGTTTACAACCACTCAAACGTCGAGCCGCTGGCATAGTACCGTCCGTCTGTGCGGGGGCGAAGATGGACTCAGGGTCAATGCCTAGGAGGGTGACCATAAATGGCGATTTTATTAGCCCGGGTTTGAATGGGAAGAGAAAGTTGCGACGGGGCGGAATGGGGCCGGTTTTTTTTTGTCTCTAATGGGAAAGAGAGAATTTCTGGCCAGAAATTCCCGAAAAAAGGTACATGGACCCTTTTGGGTTTACAAGAACAAGATAGCGAAAAAATTTTGAGAGAAAGAAAACTTAGAACATGCTGCAAATCAAAAGATTTGCCTCGATGAGTTGAGCACAATGCTTTTTTCGGATCCAGAATATATTCATTAATAGAGGATTTGCGGCGCTGCGTAATTTGCGTGATTCGCGTGATTTCGCGAAATTCCACGGAAGTCACAGAGTTTGGGTAAATTCGCGGAATTTTGTTTTTTGCAGAAGATTCTCCACCAATATAACAACTTGATTGATGTTTCCAGCATTCCATAACTCAAAAACCCGCTCTCTTCGAGGCAGACGGGGGATGGGGGCTAGGCGCCAGATGGCACGCGCATGTCTTTCACAATGTCTCCGTTGATAAATCGCTGACGTTTTGCCTCCACTTTGAAAAACTTACATCAGTCCTACACTTCCCATACCTCGGGGTCAACTCCCACATGTTACCGTAACCGTCATCTAAGCCGCTTTACCCGAGAAGGGATACTTTTGTCGATTGGGTGTTCGATTAAACAATGGGGCAAGGGTGCGATATCAGGTATCGCCGCCGTTCGCGCGGCTCTTATCGGTACAGCATCGGCGTTACTGTATCGGATTACCATTTGATCAGCTGTGTTACAATTTGAATAGGGGGGGGGGGGGGGGCAAAGTGTTAATAATTTGTCCCATTCTCCCATTCAGCCATCTACAGGGCGAGTAATCAGTATTTTATCGAAAAAAAACGCGACAAAATTTAAAAACATCCATAAAAATAACTGGTACAAACTGAGAAATATATAAGTTCAAATTTACATATTCCGGTTTCCAAAATGACTCAAAAAATTCATCCCCCCCCCCTCCCGCTCTCCCTTACTCTCTAGTTATCACGGATCCTACCCACCCTTTTTTGGTGTGTACCCCTTATCAATTATTCAACCTCCAATGTCCAGTTATGGAATCGTTGCAAAGGTCAACGTGTGAGTTTTGTTAGTTCAGCTACACTACGGATTACTGTAGCCATACTGTACAAACAAAAAGATACAAGGTCTTCTGCCGACTGTTTATATTAGCGGAATGAGGTGCAGCAGTGGAGTGGACCAATTTAAGTAGCAGGATTGGAGGGGGAGGGGGGGGGGGGGGAGGGAATAAAAAGAATGAATGAATAATGAACGAATGAATCAATAAATGGGTCATTATGACTTAACCAGATGTATGAGTGGGAAAAATGACTGCTGGAAAGGAGATTTAAACAGGGAATGCGATGGGAACAGCTTTTATAAACACCAAAAGAAACGGAGAATTTTACTACATATTCTGTTTTCACTATTTTTTTAACCATACTTTTCGTTTTTCACCATAAACTGCACTATATTATATGTTATGGATATACCTAGCTAGGTACAAAATTTTCAAAAGTTTGAGGTGAAAAAAACGCTGGACTTTTCGCAATAGCAAAACTTTGCACGTGCAGCTCTTTCAAGGAATGTGAATTATCAAATGAAAAAATGTATGTTAAAAATATTATGTTATAGCTAGTTTTATTATTCAGAAAACATATTTTACAGTAATCAAAATAAATTAACAATCAATTTGTAAGTTAAAAAACTCACCCTGACATTCCATGATAGCGCGAAATGCTGCCGCATATCCGGTACTTCGTAGTTATCTGTTGCGCGAGTACATTTTGGACATGGGGCGTGGTCAATCATCTGGCAATCGTCCAACAAGAGGGCGTGGCCAGCGGCTGTGGTGAAAGATGGCTGGCGCACATGCGTCGACGTAGGTGGAGTGGGAGCCGAAGCACCATCTGCTGACAGGTGCGGGTCGTCCGGGTTCAGCTGAGTTCGGTCATGAGCCGGACCCGGTTGCGATTTACATTGGGCCAGATCCGGTTTCGATTTGTGACGCCCAAGCAGCGTGTTCACGAGTTTTGAATACATTTCTGAAAAAAATCGGTTTATGATTTATTCCTTTGGAAAGGATAGAATACGAAGAGAAACAAGGCGAAGAGGAATTACAGGGTGAAGGTAGGAGCCCATTTACAATGTTACAGTGAAATTAAATTATCAGGCAACTGTAACATGAAAAGTAGAATAAAACATCTAAAAAAAGGTCCGTGACCCTATTTTCATAAAATATGAGGAAAATTCATGCAAAAATGATAGATTAGCCAGGATAACAAAAATCGTCATCGTTTTAACGGACCTGAGTCAGAAATTTTCCTCTTTATTTATATGTACAACATTTCTTCATCCTATCGCACAATAGAGCTCAATTTATCTACAGTCTGTAGATGATTTCGACCACTTCAACATTTTTGGTTGCTCTCATAATTTACTATATTTCTTTTTATTGATCTATGTCGTGTTATTGCATACTTATTTATATTAAAAAATCAACCATTCATGTGTTCCACTAAGAAATCTGAGACAGAGCGGAATTCATACCCGTTTAGGAGAAAAACACCTAATTTTTTGCGCAAAAAAAGGCCAGGAAAAGCCTGTAGATAGATCTGAAAAGCCTCAGTTTGTGCACGACTGAAAAGAGCTGCAAAAGCGAGTGCCTGGGCTGGCAATGTGCCAATATCGTGAACTCTGATTTATTGCACAACACATTTGACACTTGTGCTGTGTGTGATGGCAAATGCGGCTGTTGTCTGCTGGTTGCACGCAATTTTGCACTTGATGTCAATGGTGTGAGAAATTTCCCGCAGAATATCGTCCCTGCTATGCTAGTGAATTTAAAAAATTCTTCTATCTATATATCATTATTTGCCATAGGCAATATTGTTCATGTGGCTTCTTACCATAACCGCAAAAATGTTCAGCTTTTGTTAAGTTTATGCATATAAAATAAAAGAATAAACGAAGATTGGTATCACAAGACACCGCATAAAATAAATTCCTGTTGTACTCAAAGAGGTATTTGAGCGGAAATTATCGAACAAGAATTATACGCTTTTGTTTCAAATAAGATGGTACACAACATAAAATCGATTTATTGATTTTTGAGGGACCAAGAAGCTTTCGATAGCTGCAAAAATTTTATCACATCTTTCATTTTGCTGTATAAGACATACATTTACTCTCATTCACAATCATGGACATTCTATTTTTACCCTATTTACTAGTTTTTCGATCAATATGAATAAATAAGAACTTGCTTGGAGTATAGACAAAAAATTACCAGCAGCCCGCATACTCTTTTAAGAATCAATAAATCGATTTTCTACCGTATCCAGCTAGTTCAAAAGCGATACTATACACTTCTTTAAGTCTCTCTCACGCAATCGCAATCACATGTAGCTATCGTCGCTTACGCATTACGAGTCTTTAGAGCATATTTGACCGCTGGCTTAACGAAGTGGACGTTGAAACGAGGCCGATGTTGACTTTGTTCACGTAAACTGCTCGAGCCGTGTGAGGACATGCGTGTACTTACGTACTTCGCGTTGCGTAACGGCTTGCGATTGAGAAGCGGTGTAAATGTAGCAGTAGTTAGGTAATAATCTGGTGTAGATAAGGGAATGAGTGCGGAGAAAATTGTCGGGATACGATAGAGATTTTTTTGAATTTTTCGATGGGTGAAGCTTTTTTTAGAGTCCATATTTACTTTTTGCTTTTGTCAGAACAAAATGGGCTAAAGTATAATATAAGTAGAATCACGAGAGAAAAGTATTGCGCTGGAAATATAGTTTTTATATTTCCGACTTCCAGTTTAAATTAAAAGTAAACAGCTTAAAAAGAAGTTTTCCTTCTTTTTTCAAAATCTTATCCATTCTACTTTCTATTCTATTTTACAGTATTTTTGAGATTTTATTTCGCTAATGCTCAAAGAGAAAATGAATAGAAAAATTAGCACTCAAACAGCAAATTATTATGTTCGAACGTCAGAAAATAAAATAAAAACTTTTCCACAAAATCATGAATTGTTTGCTGAATGTTTTTGTCTTTTTTGCATACTCATTGTCAGCGATCGAAGAATTTACAAGATCCTATGATTACTAATGTTGAAAATAGAAGATCAAAAGAAACTGTTGAAGGACAAAGAAAATCAAAGAAAACTTTCTCCTTTCTCCTTCCCTTCAAATTATCATCAAATTCCATCTAATCTTAACATTGGACAGATGTAATAACTATAAATCTTCGATCAAATGCGCGATCTAGGGTTTTTCCATATAAAAAGTTGTCTAACTGACGCAATTAACACCTGACTAACGACCATGGCGGTGTCTTGTGAAGTAGTCTTTATGTCTCGACTATTTTACAGCTTTAGTACCCATCCAAAGGGCAGTAATGGAAGTGGTTATTTATTAGAAAGCTTTAGCGACACGTAGCCCTCAGTAACGCAGCAAAAGTCGGTGCAGATGGCGGTGAGGGCAGAAGCAAGGGGTTTACGAGGTGCGAAGTCGTTAAAGCACATGTACACTTGATATGAGACACATGGTCAACAGCGATATGTAAAGAAACTTGAATTCTTACAACCTATTCAAACAGAAGAAAATCCACTTTGCTTAAGAGAAGAAGTGCGAGGATTCCGAGTTATGGAGTTCAAGAAGAGATACGAGAAACTTAGGAAATTTTATCAAGGACCTGTCGGTACTTCCGCGGCAGAATCTTCCAACTTCCGCAAAGTTTCAAAATTGAGGAAATAGTTACCTTTGGACACCAAATATTTTTTCAAGTCTCTCTATCAAAAGCGAGGTAAAAGGACAAGGATTTTGGGAATAATTCACAGCAAGTCGGGATACTCGAACGGAAATCCCGCGGCGGAATCTCCAAACTTTCAAAAGGCTTCAAACATCATGGAAGCAAGCCAAACTTGTCTATAAGAAGATTTGCGAAGCCTCTTTTGCAGAGAAGTAAGAGAAATGAGGATAAGTATTAGAAATTTAACGAGATCCTGCAAACGTTGATCGGAACTTCCGCGGCGTGATCTCCAAACTTCCGCAGAGCTACAAACACTTCGGAAACATATAACAGCACTTTCCCAAGGTAGTAGGAAAACGTGAAAATAAGACAATCCTAGAAATCCAGTGGTTCATCCTAACTGACTGATAGGAACTTGCGGGGGATCTCTGTTCCGCAGGGCTTCATACAAACGATCGAACTTTTTTATAAAGAGCTCTGAAGTGTTCACATTGCAAAGAAGAAGGAAGTGACGTGAAGTTCAAGAAACTATTGACAATCACAAGTCAACAGAACGGAGCTTCTGCGACGATATCTGTTAAAGTTCCGCAGGGGGAAATTCTAGACTTGCGAGTGTTAAAAGGGTAATTTCACGAAAGCATAAAGCTATGCAAAGCTCAAAACAGAAAACTTGAATCTCGCACAGCTATTTAGAAGTTACTGCATATATAAAAATAAATTCTTGTTACCAAAGCACTCCCACAATTCAGCATCAAAGAAAAGCAAGGAACAAGGATAGTCCGCACTATATTTTGTCGGCAAAGCAAGAAAGCTTACTTGAAAGCGGCACGATTGCCATCAGTCCACTCTGAAGAGCTTAAGTCCGACTTAGCTTGTAAAAGAAAACAGGAACTTTACTAAGATGATTAGTATGTATTAGCTTGTCCAAAGCCTGATTCATACAGCGAAAAAAGTGGTCCCAATCTAATCTCTCCGATGCAAGCTCAGTAGCCGGATGCCGAATGTGTTGGTCATCGTTTGGACAGACAGCGAAAGTAAAGGAAATAGCAGAGATTTGAAGTGATTGGTTTTTTCAAACCCTTCAGTTTTAGACTTCAACGAAATCGAAAATCCGTGAAATCTTGAAAAAGACTGTTCGGAACTTCCGCGGCGACGTTCAAGTTTCCGCAAGGCTCCAAATATTCTGAAATCCTGCGAGTATCAAACGATTACAATAAAGTCGTACTTTTGTTGTTATTTTGGACTCTCTACTGCTTTTCAGTCTGATATTTACTGTGGCCAATTTTACGCTAAAATCAACATCCGAATTAGCCCTTAATTGTCATTAATAAAAACAAATTGCTCCAAGTGATTGCCCCATCCACATTCCAATTCTGTATTGGTGCTTAAGAAACACTCAGAAGTGTCTGTGTAAATAGAGTCTCGAGAGAAAGTCTGAAAAAGGGCAAATCCTGAATAATAAGGGGAAAGTAGGAAGAACGCGCACAAGAGGAGTTTGAGTCAAAAAGATATCCGTCTACTTGAAAGCTGACAGGTGATGATTTCGAAATTTCAAGAAAAATTTAATTTTGCAGCGGCTGATCCGCTGAAAAAGGCAGACTATAGCTAAGAAATGAATAACTGAGATGATTCACAGCCAAGAAAATTCACAAACAAAAAGTGCTTCTTATTTACAGCGCTGCAATTAGGAACGTTTTGCGCAGCTGCTCATTTCCAGATGGCTGGTGTTTTCGTCGTTCTGCTTCATCCATAATCTTTTTCTTTTAGCTTTCCACTTTCATAGAATGGTCGCTTGGCTGTGGGCTAATATAGAGGCAATGTATAAACATATATGCATAGTAGTGGTGATCCCAAAGTTTCCGCCCAGGGGGGGGGAATTTTTTTTAAATGAAGGTGCGTAATCAAAGCCATGCGCCCCGAAAATTTTTTTTGGATGCTTCTGAAAATTTTTGCGGGCCCATAACACCTGAAATATATGAAAAGAGGACAGGGCGACAGCCACGCCCCGAAAGAATTTTTTTACAAAGCTAATTTGAACTTAAAAAATTTCAAGAATTCTATTGAGATTTATAAGAATAAACAATCACTTGCACGTTTTTGTAACCCATGTGAGTAAATTTTAAAAACTGGCGACCCATTTTTGTGGGAGGCCCCCCCCCCTCCCGCGGACCGCCACCACTGTGTTGAATGTAATATTTCCCTCACTCATCATATTATGATATAGTAATCAAATCGAAATCATGAATTATTTCTGTATTTTCCAAGACTACTAACATAAGTAAAGAATCAGAAA